TAAATCGCTGAAATTGCACATTTCCTGTTGAATTACAGGCTGAAACGTGATGTGCGGCAGCAAGGAGCCGAGCCTCGGACTGTTTTATGTCCGCCAACTTCTCTAAAGTATGCCGAGGTAGTCACTGCCTATGTGTCAAATTGTGTCTTTTTTCACCTGCCTCATGGTTACTGTCTGTCAAAGCGCTTTATTTGAATAGAGGTGCGCCACTTCTTCCCATCACCTGAGTATTCAGAGTCATGCAAAGCTTGATGCTTTTTTAAATAAAATACGAGATGGAAATATTTTTAACTAAGCATACTTTAGTTAAATTGCAATATTTGTGCATTATGGTCAACATTCATCTTAATTTTTAAGAGGGGTTTTTTAATATATGTTTTGATCCTACTATGTTGCCGTTTTAAAGTTACCAATGAAGTGACCTCTGCGTTCGCTTCATGTTTCAGGAAGCCAGCTTGCTGATGATTAAATGGAAAATTAGATTTTGATTCACCATGAATAGTTTCAGTGGTTTTACACCTTGCCTTTGGGGAGGAGTCTTAGCTTGTCCGCTTTGTGGTAAAATTGAGGTTTATTTGACTTCCTGTTATTTTAAATAGAGGAAATGCAAAAACATAGTGACACAAAGCTTAAACTTAAATCGAACTCTGCTTTCCTCTCACTGATGTAGAACATTTTTATGTCCCTAATACACTCTCATGCTCATTCTTTCTTCTTTTTAGTTTCATCTAATATTAATGTATTCTTAAAGCACATCCCAATTGCACGTTTTTTGGCATTATTTATAAACTGTACCTAATTTCAGGCTCACATAATAATGTTTCCAACACATAAAAATAACGTATTTTGTTACATAAATCCATTTCCTGGAGTCTTACTTTGAAGATAAACACAACCCTGCCCTCAAAAGTTAAATGGTTTATCTTTGGAATACTTGTATTTTTTCCTCTCAGGACCCGAGAATGTAACTTTATGTAAACATATTTAAACAACTTAAGTAGTGCACGAAGGAGCACATCCAACCGAGTTATAAAGAGTTTTAGTCCATAAATTCCATTAGTGTTTGGTCGACCCTCATTGTTCTTGGCTCCAGCCCGGTTTGAACACATGATAGATGGTATAATTGGTGTATATTTTTTTTCCACAGCCCACTACAACAGTAAAACCAATTTGTGTGGCATAAACCTTTGTGGAGCTGTGGTATCTGATTTTGGGGAAATGGAAAATGCATCTTTGGGGTCCTGTTGGTTACAGTGCAGTGCATAGCCATCCTTCATTTTCCTCACACACTCTTTCGTCTGTGTTGATAATGAGAGCCCAGAGGCCTGTTAAAGACATTGGGCTCTTGTTTCTTGAGTCAGTTCTGCATCCAGGGGTAACTAGGCTTTGCTGGCATTAGTGTTGGACAGATGATGTTTACACGATGCATGAGATGGTTTCCATTCTCATTTCCATTTTATTAGAGAGAAGCGCTGCCTGAATGATCATTTTAATGGTAACAATGTTGACCTGTACTGTAGTGCTACATTTGGTTTTACTACACCTGTGATAGATGTGGTGAGTCACTTCCTTATGTCCGTTGAGAAAACAGGATAAATCTTCTGTTGCGCTCCTCTGCACCCTCACTGAGCTCGCAGTGGAAGTGCAAATTTTTTTGTGGTTCAGAGCTAGATGGCATGGTGGTGTGGTGGTTAGCACCGTCGCCTCAAAACAAAAGGGGTTGAATCCGGTACCTTTCTATGTTGAATTTGCATGTTCATCTCCAAAAACTAGATTTTTGGTTAATTGAACACTAAACTAGGATGGATGGGCTGAATTGTGCTGATTAACCTCACGATTAACCTGCACTTGTTGAGGTGTCTTGTTGCATGTGAGCTGAGAGTTAATGCTGACTGGGTTTGGTAATAAAAACTTTGTTCTTTAAACACTTGTGGACAGACCTGCCTCTTGCATGCTTCCTGGTGTAACTGTAAAGCTGACATTTCGGTATTGCAAAAACAAGTAAAGTAAAACATCTAGTATCCTTCTTTTCTCATTGCGACATGGAAATTCATATAATCTCAGACACGCGCTAAGCAGGTTAACTGAAATTTCTATCATGATTTCATGACTTCCTCATTCTGTGAGTATCAGCAAACATGCCTGAAATGTATGTAGTAGGTAATTGGAAAGCATTGGGAGGTTTATAAGTTGAATAATCTTGAAGAGTCCACTGCCATGAAGGGGATTAGGACCTTGGCTTTGTTTAGGGTCTGTGGTTATTTAGAGTAGCTCTGTGTAAAAACCAGAGGGAGGTATAAACTCTCTCTCAGGATCTCTTGATGTTTTAATAAGGCTGGTTATAAGCCATGTTGTTCCAGTAATGGAAACTGTGAGAGACAAGTGGGTCTGCAGTTCCCATGAGAGAAAAGACTGAAGAGTGAGCCGAAGCAATGCAAGAAATGAAAACTCTGTTTGAGCTTTTTGTGAAGTGATCGCAACATCTCTGAAGCAGAATGGATCATGCAGATTGTCTCACCACTGGATTTAGGCCAATTAATCAATGCATAAATCAATTTTTTATATTTTCACTCAACAGGTTCTCTGTCCGAAATGAACAAGTCTTAACTTGACATGGTAAATTGAAAGGTGGATGTGTTTATTACAAGACTTCTAGTGCTTAAACCCTCATTTTCATACTACTCAAACATTGACAGAGAGAATCTGAAAGTGAGATTATTCAGCTCACCAAAGTATTTTGGAAAATTAAGCATGGAGAAAAACTTAGTTAGAAGGAAAGGAAATCACAAATGGAGTGTGTTAAACCCATTAAGCTATGGATGTGTGTTACAGAACATTATGTTAACACAAAGACACTCATTCACTCGCTTGCACATTCATTTGGAGTGGAGAGGAACTCTTAGCCCCAAGCAATTGATTCCCAAAAAAAGAGGAAAGCGCCGTGAGTGAAATGTGTTAATGAAGGCTGATGAACAGCTACTTGTGTTTTACTCTTCCTCTCCCCCTCACTCCAGCCCTCGCACTTTTCACTTTCTCCTCGCTTCGGTTTGTTCTCCTTTCCCTCTGCCTCTGAATGCATTTGTTTAAATTGTCTGCTGCTGCTTATTTAAGCTCTTGCAATACTTCTCAGCATTGCTGCAGTTTCTCAGAGAAGGGCCGCTTAGGCGTTTCTGTGCCGTTTCCCTTGTGAACACTGAACTAAATGTAAAAAACAAAACAAAAAACCCAGAGCTGGCAGACACTGAGCTATTGAAAGTATGTCAGATTTATTTGTCTTTGTTCTCAGACAGCTAGATGCCGGAAAAATTGGGAGTGAAAAGATGCCCATAAAGATTCTGTGTCAACTTGTGGCCACTAGCAGCATTTACAGACTGTCAGTCTGTGTGAGAAAAAAGCTGATATTACAACCAAAGTGTATCTGCTCAAAGACAACACCGCCATAATGAATCCAGACATACGCATTGGAATGGTGATCTTCCCGGGACTCCCATGGAAGAGATCATATATCTCAATGGGATCTTCTGGGCTAAATAAAGGCAATTCAATTAAATGATCTTCCCACAGGGAAATTTAAAATCCTCAGACTGTCTCGCTTTCTCTTACAGTGCATATTGTCGTGGCAGCAGGCATAGTTCGGTCAATAAATCAGATCCTTTTGCACATAAATGTATCTGAGGTCACCACAGCCAGTCAGCCTTCACTCTGCGGTGGAAATGTTTCAAATAGAAGCAGAAGTCTTTTCCCGAAGGAGCCATGAGGTGACTATTTTATTCAAATAGAAGCATGCAAAGTGGCACCACCACTGCACGATGTATGGAAATGTTGTGAATTAAAAAAACTCGATAAGAGAAAAAACATCTGACTCAGACACCTGCTCAGTGGAGTTTCCCTTCTCAGGCATGTTCTTTTTTATGACCTCAGAATACAGTCAGCAGAGCGAGGTCTTCCTGATATTCGTCACCTTCAGGATAAGGTGTCTCAGACATTCAATGATAAGAAGAAAAGTCAGTTTGAGCCGAGGCAATCTTGCTGCTCTAACCTTGCAAAGCGGCGAGCAATAAACAGAATAAGAGTCCAGAATCCTATTCAAGCTACTCCATGTGTGTCAAATGCAAAATTTATCATGAAGAGTGTTTGGCAGGAGTTGTTCTATGGGTTTAGGACTGGCACGAACAGTACTGGACACAGAATACTGCACCCCTCTTGTACTACTCAAAGTGAACTCCAAATGTTGCCACAGTCAAGCTGTGGCGCCATATCAGCTGAGTCCAGGTACTAGTCAAAACGTCCTGTGTTTTCAGAATGTGACTCTGTGCTCAGAGAAAAGAGCATGAACACATCACCATCGCGCTTGCCTTAATTTACTGACCAAACCGATGGTTTTGAAGCCTCCGTAGTTGTAGCTCAGAGCTCTGAAAGTTGAACAGCAGGAACATCATTATGCTCTCGCTGAATTATTGGATTCCGTTGTGATTTTCTGGCTTCCTGTCTCCGCTGTGACTCTGGCAGGAAACGGTGTCTAGATACAGGCAAATGAAGAGATGTATGATAACTCCTTTTATCCGAATACACAGCCTGTCTCGCTCTCTGCCTCCTATTTTTTTCTCCTTTTTCATCAATGTTTCCATGTTTCCATCTATGTGCATCTCAGTTTCTGTCCCCAGCACACACACACTCACACACACACACACACACACACACACATGCACCGGGTGCAATCAGTGATGCACCAGTTGTTCTTAATTGACCAAATTCATCATAATAATCCCATTCCATGATTGGTCAATGTGTAACTCATCCTGAAACATTTCTGCTTTGTCCTGTGTAAAAAGATCAGTACAGGACTTTATCAGTACATGTAAGGAATCTTGACACTCCCATGATTAAAAAAACAGCTTTTTGTGTTTGTGGATCTCTGGATGTGTCAAACAGGGATAAGCTGGGTCATGAGAGGGACTGCTTGTGAATGAACATTTTTCTCTCCTCGTTTCTTCCTTCAGAGCCCTGGTGTTTATTGTTCATGGAGCTGGGGAGCACAGCGGGCCTTATGAGGAGATTGCACAGAGACTGAGGGATCTGTCCCTGCTGGTATTTGCACATGACCACGGTGAGTGACAAACACACATCACAGGACTGTAATGGTGTGCATACATTTACACCTACACTCTCAGTACAGGCCTTATATATGTGTGGTTCAGTGCACGGCTTTTTGCATGAGCGCATTACAGTGCCTCTGTGATTTAATCCTTTTAGAGAACATTAATTAGGCGGCTCATTGCTCTTTTGTTCTCCAGCCGTGGTACCTTTGTAAGTGGTGAGCTGAATACAATTCAAGAAAAACCTGATGGCTTTGTCAAATGTTTTAAGAAACGTTTGTGCATATCTTTCCATCTTACTTGGAATCGGAACTGGTTTTGATCTTATACGAAACAAAGACTTGTTCAGTTGATTCGTATGTCTCAGGCTTCAGGCTTGGATTTGGCATGTATATGTATGTATATGTATGTATGTGTGTATTTGACTTTGAATCAAAGCTCTGCTGTTAACAGGTGTGTTCATAACAGACGAGAGCAAAATCTAAGCTCTAGAAATGTGGAATTATTTACGGCAGAGGAGATTTTAGTGTGTAGCAGACAGTCGATAAAATAGAGTGAATGACTGAGGCCCTCGCACAGGAGCCGTTTATTCATTGCCCTCCCAGTTAAATGCCAGACTGTTAAAAGGCAAATGCTGAAGTGAAACAAGTCCCTAGAGACAGTAGTTTTACACACACTGTATCTCACACTGATATGCATACAGACACATTTTTTTTCTATCTCAAGTGTAATTCTTTCCTTCACATCCTGCAAAGGCAGTATGTTTCTTCCATAAGCTCAAGAGTCCTGTTTCATAAGATGAAAAACAGCTCATCCAGACCTGTCGCCAACATTGTGTGTTAGTATACGTGTGCGGTAAAGCTGGAGGGGTAGTTTTCAGGCTCACGAGCAGAAGGAAGGCAGATTGGGCAAACGGAGGCTGTATTTCACAACAATCAAAAAGAGCCGTTATGACAAGAGAGCCAGAGATCTCAGATATGAAGAAGCTGGGGAAAGAAGAGACACAGCAACACGGGGAACTACGCTGAGGATCCCGCACCTCACAACAGGAACTTAGTGGTGATTACACTGAAAAGGCAGGTGTTGAACCAGTCAATGAAGCAAGGTTTAAAATCTGATCAGCATGTGATCTTAACCCTTTAAAGCCTGACCCAAGAAAGAGTTATGGTATTTGGATTTTTATTTAGATTTATATACATTTAGAATTTCTTGAAATAAACATAATATTTACTGCCAATGTTTTGCAATGAACTAAGATGGAAAAATTCTCCCAATTTTTTTTTAATCAAACGTTTTGACTATAAGATAATCTCAGAAACCTATGTATCAAATATGATACAGAATTAAAGAGCTAAATGAGAAAAAAAAAACGTGCTCTGTACTCTACAGAATCAAAAATGCAGCTTGTGAGAGACTAAGTGTGCACATATGTCTGACAGTGTGCGTTTAAAGATAAGGATTCGGTTGAACCTCTCATTGCGACAGTGAGTGGGCACTGGCTTCCACACCGTTGCGTTCTCCCTGCTTCTGTAGTGAGGAGGAAAAACAACAAAGCGGGAGCTCTTGTGTGCACGCATGAGGGATTCGTGCGTTTGTGAGAACAGCCCTGCAGAAAATGGCAGAGTGAGTGTGACAAGGTGTGAGCTGCACATGTTGCGAATGTTTTGGCAGCGGTGTTGTTGGGTCTGTGGTTGCCATGGCAGCCCGCCCAGTGCAGGAAAAAACTTGAGAACACGTATATTACACAGATTCATACATGTATACATATTCATGAACTTCTCCTCCTCTGCTGTGTCCTGCTTATTTCATAGTTTCTGTCACATTCTCATGTTCTCATCACTCTCCTGGTTTCTTATTCACATACAGTTTATTTCCACTTAACTGTTGTCTCACCTGTTTTCTCATTAGTTTTTCTTCCTGTTGATGTCACCTTTTACTTTGTGTTCTCTTTTCCCTATTTTTCTGCTGTTTTGCTTGAGTTGTTGTCCACCTTCTTGTCTTCTTATTTTCTCCTGTCATAATTCTATTTGTCACTCCTGTCTAGTTTTCCACTTTAAAACACTCTTTTTTTAAAACCACCTCCTCTTTCCTCTTTTGTTTCCTTATTTTCCTTCAGATACCAATCCCTCCTCTTTCTGATCTTTCCTTATTTTCTCCAGCGCTCCTTTATTTGAACCATTTTGTAGATGTTAAGACATTTCTATCTATCTAATAGGATGCCAGATATAAAAGAAAAACGTTAGTCCTTTTTTTTCCTCTCATGACAGCCTCTTCTGTTTCTATTTCTCCTCCTTTTCTACAGTTGGTCATGGTCAGAGTGAGGGAGACAGGATGAACATCAAAGACTTTCAGGTTTACATCAGGGACTCCCTCCAGCACATCGACCTGATGACGGCTCGCCACCCCGACCTGCCCGTCTTCATTGTAGGCCACTCCATGGTAGGCCGCTCTCCATGACCTGTTTCACAGCCTTGAATAGGCCGCGGTGGTTTACATTTCCTCTGGCTTATTTTGTTTTCGCTCACAGAAATGTGCTCCAGGTAATCACTCTGGGAACAATGAAACGCTTTCTCTGGTACAAGGCTTGTTCTCCTGTTTTGTTTGCTATAGAATTACATGATATGAGCTCCCAGTGTCGAGGGATTGGCAAATCACTGGCTTTAAATTGAAAGCAGAACTCTAGACGGATTGAGTGCACATGCTGAGCCGTTTTTCGGTGATACTGTATCATGAAAAAGGGGCCGCTTTTTTCAGTTAAACCTGAGAACTTGTCTCTATCAAGCAGGAACTACGTTGCTGAGAAAAGACACCCCGTCTCCCTTTGAATTACATTTTATTTGGTTTGGCTATTAGCGTGTAAAGGACAAATGTTACGTCATTTGCAGGGAAAGTGCCCAGTGAGGGTTTGCTATTTGCTTTTCTCAGTAAAAACCCAACTTACCTTTCACACAGTAACACACATTCCTCACAGCCAACAGCTGCTGCTGGTCACAGAAAACCTTCAACAGGCCAACTTGCAGGTTTCGTTGGGGCTGTGCTCGTAGACAAAATAGAGCTTAACCTCTTACTGTGCCTTCACACAGAAAATGAAAACTAGGCTGGCTCTGTTGGGATTTTCATTACTTCCCACTTTGGGATTCCCACTTTCATTTTGTAGCAGGTTGCTAGTGTTGGCTGGCATGAAGAAAAATAGCTACCCCGGCTCTGTCTTTTCATTCACTCGACAATACGGGTCACATAACTGCTGAGGTTTACTGCCTTTACATGCTGCTGTCTGAATCCCAAATCCCTTCTTCACTCTTGGGGCTAAGCTTGATGAAAAGGTTGCTGTTTTTCTTTGAAAAATGGTGATTCTTTAAAGAACAAGTTTAACTTTTTTCTATATTTTGGATTGACTGTTGCCGTTTACTCTTGTTTCTAGTCGTTTTGAAACTAAATGCTGTCTCAACTTTGACCTCAATGCTAATTTAAAAGATGAGTAATTTGACTTGAAAAAAAAATTCAAGAGAAAGTCGATCATCAGATATGCAAAACTGAAGTAATTTACTTATTTCAATGCAGATTAATGAACTAATAACAGTGTCTGATTTTCAGATTGAAAATCTTTCTTCATAATAGGTAATCGGGGTCATGATCATCAAAAGTCCTGAAAAATAAGGAAATTGAACTTCTTGTCATGATTCATGAACTATAACAGGACAGTGGCCCGTTTATATAGCCAAGCTAAGATGTAACAGTAGTTCAACTTAATCCTACATATAGCTACTGAGCCAGACTCCCATGCTGTCCGTTGTCCTCTTTGTAAAACAACCCTCTGGAGACAATGACCCTCTAGATATGCAGCTGCGACATAAATGTGACCTCAGTGACTGTCTAGGTGGGAATGACCCCCAAAAAAGGCCAAACCCAGAACTGATTAATCTTTTTGGGTGAAAGGTGAAAAACCTCTCATAGTCCAGATGCCTTTCATTGAAACATTTAGGAATGTGGTTTTACCTACTCTATGTTTAAAAAATTCGTTGCACATTGAAGTGTGGAAAACATAAACAAAGTTCATCTTTGTGAAAGATTCAGCAATGGCCGCTAAACTATTCTGATGTTATCTTGGTTTTGTCAGTGTTTCTCAGAGCAGCATTAGACATGTAGCTGTTTTTCTCTGGAACCCACTAACGTCCACCACAAATAGAACACAAGCATTAGTGAAGAGTTACACAATGTATGATTGCTGTCAGTTTGTACTCTATTGAACTTGTCTCTATTGAATGAGCAGTTCTGTATTCCTACACATGAAAAGCACGCATCTTTTAAACATAGTACCACAGTTTATCTTGTGGTAGAGTGGGTAGCTGCATTCACGGTTGAAGAAAAACTAAAAAAAGAGTCCTTTTGAACACGAGGCAGTCAGCACCTCCTGTGTGCGCACTGAGCATTTCATACTGTACATAAATGCACTGTTTGTAGTCTTATAAGTCACAGCTGAAAACTATCAAGCGGAGAACACAGAGGAGAGCTGGAAATTAATTGCACAATTGTTTTGTCACGAGAAGCATGGAGCCTTGTTATCTTGCAGCCCAGCAGTGTGCTGGTGGCTGTGCGGTATTCAACACAAAGAGGGGATTTACTGCGGATATGATTGGCTTGTAGAGAAATGAAAGCTGTTGTTTGACGAAAATATACATTGTATTTCTGCTTCATTAGCAAAACACCGGTGGCCTGTAAAAACAGTCACAGTATTTATCTTGAAACCTGTCGTGTTATTCTTATGGTGATTCGTTGAAACGATAGTGATAACGCAATTTCTGTGAGCACTGGGTTATAAACTAGCAATAGAGCATCGTTGTGAATCCTTAGTATGACTATATTTTTAGCATTCTCACTTGTAGAAGGACATGTGATTGTAGATTCCTGCAGAAACAGCAGGGATTTATCCCTCTGGATCTACTGAGCTGTCATTTCCTCTCGTGTTTTAGGAGTTGGCCGATAATACCAGTCAGCTCCCGAACTGGCGGAGCATGTTTTACAGGCTACAATTGGATAGTCTCCTTTATTTATTTATTTCCTTTCTCCCACATTGTTTTTCATGGTCATCTCTCCCTTCTCTTGTCATCACTCCATCTGTCATTTCTTTCCTTGTCCTCCCTTTGCTCTGACCTGATGCCAGTTGAGCCTGCCTGCCTGTGACTCCATCATTTTCTTGTGTCACACCTACATAATCTTTTCAGTGTATCTCCGCCCCCCCTCATCCTTACTATTCTTTTCATTTCCTTTCTTAAGTTTATGTTTCCCTAGAAGCAAATAAAACCCAGGAATGCTAAGGGGCCAAGCTCAGATTAAATGTTGCGTTAGTGTGTTTTTACAGGTTTCATTCCCGGCTTCCCACTGTTGTAACTCCGCTTCCTGTTTCCATTAGTCTGTTCCTCTGCTCCTCTGTTTGTAGGAGTCTACGTTAAAAGGGATCTATGTGACGTAAAATGACTACAAAAACAATAACCCTCTTGTGGATTCACAGTTTAAAGATAACATCCTGAGGAGATGTCCAAACACATTGTAGTTACAGTAGGGGGAGATTTTGCCCTCATCACCTGTTTGAGGAAATTTGACAAATGGACAAAGTTATATTTCTTCACTCTGAATTCCAAAGCACATTTGATGATATTTAAAGTGTCTTGAACTTAACACAAACAATACCAGAGCTGCTTTTGTTGATGATCCATCCATCTGAACCACAACAGAATTCCAAAGCAGCTGTATGATTGCCTGCCTCCAAATTTTCTGCAGATATTAATGATTTCCAGGGGACGAACCTTTTGCTTTGGCTTTTCATGACACATGCTCTCAGAATTTGAGCCAAATGTTTTCAACATGTCTAAATGTACAGAAAGCTTCTAAGTTATCCAATTACAATGCCGACCAATATTGTTCAAAAGTATAAGAAAAAAGTAGGGATTCAGAGAATTTGCCAAGAAGGTTTAGGCGTAACATTTGTTGTTTTGATCAAGCATCTTTTGTCAGACATGACTAAATGATGTAATAGACAATAAGTTGATGTTTATATGTGATGCAACACTAATTTAGAAACAAAAAATAACTTCAGTTTCACACCACACTGACCCACTCAGTTATGATTGCATCTTGCATGAGGCAGTGGCCCCAGCATCTCAGCAGTTAGTCAGCGTTGGCTGAGCTCATGGGAATGCTGACAAATGCCCAGAGCTTTGGCCTCTTCTCACTACTCCTTGCTTCTTTCCTTCACCAGCAAAATCTCTGTCCAAGACTGATTTGTCCTACTTCCAGAGTGCCAGCTTTTTATGTAATGCTTTTGTCACTGCTCAGGACGTATTTGCTCAGCCTTGTAGGCCTTAATCTCCCTCTGTATGAGTTATACATTCAGCGTGTTGCTATGCCGAGCTCCAGTTTGTTTTGTTTTATGTAATGCCATTGTTTTTTGAGCCCTGGATAACCCCAATTTCCCTCAAATAAGATTTTTTGTTTATATAAACTTGATTTGCATTGTAGCAGGAACAGGGACACTTTGAAGACAGGACATTAGATATTTACCTGTGTTCTATAGGTATAAGCTGTTTGTACACCAGTCTACTCATGTTCAAGGCATTTGGACCATGCAATGTGACTATCACCGCTCTATAGCAGATGTAATGTTTGTAAGTCAGCTTCTCTGGCCATTTTTGACAGTTCAAGTCCTCCCACTGTCAGAGTTCAGTGGGACAATAACCACATTCATCCCTCCAGCTAAAGTTCACCGACAAAAAGTGTGAGGCAGCCCCTAATCAGGGTCTGAAAGAGTCTTACTGTGTCAATCCTCCTTCTGTCGCTTCGTCTATTCAAACGACTCATTCTGTGAGTGCACACCACTGGACAAAATCACATTCATTAAAAAAAAAAAGTGTTGAACAATAATCGAATATGTGGCAGTTGGATAGCTTGCATGTTAGCATCAGACGAACACATTCTCATCATTTGACCCTGAAACTGAGGTAGTGAGCAGTTTTTTTCAAACCCTGTGAGTGTGTGTATCTAGGCAGCTCTCTTTCTTTAGAAAGTGAGGTTTTCTGGTGGGAAATGTTCTGTCTTCCTGTAGTGCCTCTTTTCAAGAAGTAGGCCTGTCTCTGTGCCCAGGCTGATGAATATTCACACGACTGACAAAGAAAACTCACATAAACAAAGTTGAAGCCATTTAAGTTTCCAAAAAAAGACATAGAAACGGAGAGAGGGGGCAGATTCACCCATGCGGTTATTCTTCATTTGCATGTTTGTCCTGTGCTCGTTGCGTAAAAAGGAATGAATCTTATCAAAAACAATGTTAATTTTAAGTCCTGGTTAACGGAGAGTTTCTAATTATCAGGATTGCAAAAAAAAAAGAGTCAGCATGCATGCTAACATTGAGGCCTGTGCTGGTCATGTTCTGTCCTGCGAACTGTTGCTTTACACTCACATGACAGCAAAAGAGCCGGGTGGAAAGTTCCACCCACCTTAACAAAAGATGGATTGTTTTATGTTAGTCTTGATCTCTGAGGAGGTTTCCCACTGTCCCTCACCCCAGAACCTCTCACCTACTTTTCTAAGTCCATCCCACTTCTGTCACAGGGAGAGGAGACACTCCTTGTATTTTATTCTATATGTTTCACACCAGCAACTCACCACAGAACTGATTTCATTAGATTAAGCTTAAACGTCAGATTGTTTTTGATGCTCCTCAATTCATAAAAGCCCTGCAGTTACAAATATTTAAGTCCTTAACAGGAACCTCCATCATCTCCATTTAAGTGGATAAATTAATCACAGAAGGCAGATGCAGGACCATTACATTGCTTTTTTAAATTTACATCTGATGACAAGCATTTAAAACTAATGTGAGAATTTAAGAAGTACTCGAGTGACCAATGACAGTTCACGTAATTTTATCTTTCTTTTTCTCTATTTAGGGTGGGGCTATCTCAATCCTGACCGCCTGTGAAAGACCCAGTGATTTTGCTGGAGTGGTTCTTATAGCTCCAATGGTCCAGATGAATCCAGAATCAGCCACACCATTTAAGGTAATTTCAGATTTTCTGTCCACTCAACTTTTGTTTTCTTCTCTCCTGAACAGCAGTAGTTTATCTCACTACATTCAGCCCTGCTGTGAAAAAACAGTAATGATAATATTCTGTGTTTTTAGATGAGGTGTGATGTCAATAGCTGTATCTTAGAAAACCACTGATCATATTTTCACAGCCAGCCTAGCAATGCAGTAATCAAATCCCTGGGTCTAGGAGACGGGACTTTTCCTACTTTTTTTTTAGGGAAAAAGAAATTTCGATTTTAAAATTGTGGTACCAAAATTTTGGTACCAATACAAAGTGGACACCATGAAAACAGAAAATATCTATACATCAGGGCCCAGACACAGGCCTATGATGTCCTCATGAGTCAAAATAAACTGAAATGTGTTGGGTTTTTTTGGTCTGTTTGCAGATTTTCGTAGCAAAGCTCCTGAACCACATGCTCCCAAGCCTTACTCTGGGCTCTATTGAATCCAAGTGGGTCTCACGAGACAAGAAACAGGTGAGAAGCAGATGTTCGTGGGTGTGTGACGGGGGCTTGTGTACTCTATTGTTGTCTGTAATTGAATTTTCAGGTACGGATGTTGTTGAAAATGAAGTCGGGGGAGAGAACAATTTATCTTATGTGTACATCCATGGGAAGCTGTGCTATTATGGACAATCCCAGGACGTCGACCCCCTCCATGAAAAATTCTTGGATTTATTGTATTTCTAAAATGAAGTTTATGCTGTATTATTTGTGACCATAAACAATGAGCTGCAGTAAACACCAGAGACAACGACAGACAAACAGTCACGTCCACACACCTCAATCAGTGCGTATCTCTGCCTGAACTTGATTTATGTGGTGGTGTGTGTACATACTTCAGCACGCCCGCATCCTGCTTCCTCGTGGAGGGGGGAAGCAGTATTCTCCAAGGTACTACAATAGATAGACGCAACAGATAAGACTTTGACGAAGGTTCCTGACAGGATTTGGTTACAGTAAAACAAGATGTTCAGATTCACGCTTCTATTGTCCGGCGCTGTTTGAGGCTGTTCTGAGAAACCAGACACGCTGCCTTCACATGCAAGAGCATCCCGTTAAAATGTCACGAATGTTCAGCTGCATTCATGAGAAAGAGTAGAGAAGCATCCAAACACGCAGCATAAATTTGCATGACAGAATTTTGATTCGGGACCCAGAACGGACCATAGCTTCAAACCTACCAATGAAGTGGACTTGAAAGATGCTTTAATGCACATACGGTAAAGCGCAGCATCATCTGAACGACCCATTTTCCGAGTCTGCATTAACATCCACTATTTCGATTCAGACAGTTGGAACAGTGAAGTGAACACATAATGGTTTAATTCAGACAATGAGGAAATCCACCAGTTCTGCAAATCAGTCTGTGGCAGTTCACACACGTGTGAAACATTACCTTTAGACCAGTCTGAACGTATGGAGTGCCTAATGGTGCCCCTTTAGGCGTGTCAGACATTGAACGCATTCATCTTAGGAATGCAGGAAAATGCTTATCAATATCAATGTCACCGACACCGTTCTCTCTGTGGCATCTACAGGAAGCAGTTTTTGTTGAGGTGGGCCTCAGCTGTGTTTACACTCAAACTGAAAAGACCGGGGCTGTTGTGAGACTTACATTATGTGAGACCATGTATGCTTTATGTTTCATAACAGAGGAACAGGGTGGGTCCACTGCAAGTCAGCTCTGATTTAAGCTAAAGTAAATATTTGTTTTCCTGTCTTACATTTCCACATTTTTCCTTCCTTATCTTTAAATTTCCCTTTAATTTTTACATTAATCTTTGCATACAGCCCACTTATCTTGTCTTAACATCCTTTTACACTCCAGCTTTCATGGTTTTCCCCAAGATTCTTCAAATGTTTTTTTATTCTCATTTGACAGGAGAGGAGTTATCGAAAACAGGATAAAACCCAAGTTTTAGCCTTAAAAGTTGTAAATGTAACAAGCCTGCCTACCTATGGCATTTTTGTGTGTCTTCTCTCAGGTGGAGGCATACGATGCTGATGAGCTGAACTACCACGGTCGATTGCGGGTCTCGTTCGGCATGCAGCTGATGACAGCAGCGACTCGCATTGAGAGGGAGATCCCATCCATCAGCTGGCCCTTCCTCCTCCTTCACGGCGACGATGATAAGCTCTGCGACATCAGAGGCTCCAAAATGATGTACGAGAACGCGGCAAGTTCAGACAAGAATATGAAGGTCTGTGTGACTTTTTTACAGCGATTTTTCACTGACTAAAGCTGATTATCAGTTAAGATTTTACTTAATGTATTTTTCCTTTATTTTCCATTAACTTCTGTTTTTTTCTACTATTTAGTTTCAACTCCATACAAATAAATACAAACTGTTATTGAGTAACAAGAGACATAACACTGAATATGAGACAGTGTAGTGTATCACTATTGAAACCCTCCACATATATCTTTAATCTTGCTTTTGAATCAGTTTTCTAACTGGTACCACTGAGGTTTAATGCGGCTGACACAGAAACTCCAACACGTTCTCTTTTTCTGCTATATGTTTAATAAAACAATGTTTTATTAAACATAGTTTAATATGTCTTATGTAAAAATGATACTTAAAAGCCTCAGTGGTCATATTTAACACTGTTTTGACTGATGAAATACTGATCTGTAGATGTAAAATGTGTGTTTATAAAAGGGGAACCTCATACATAATGTTATAACAGGGTTTTATCACATGATGTTGAAAGTAGGAAAAATAAAGTGAGAAGCTAACAGATAGTATTTTTTTTCTCTCCCAGCACGTTGAGACATCCATAAATAATCAAGTGACATTCATGAGACTCAGACTCTCCTTTTTCATGAGTGTAATGAAATGCTCGCTTCACAAAGGGACTTTAGCTTTCTATTCTGCATGTGTGTCATCTCTCTGATGCCCGTATTTCAGGTATATGAAGGAGGCTACCACGCTCTTCACCACGACCTTCCTGAGGTGGCTGAGTCCGTGCTGAAGGATGTGACTGGCTGGATCACAGAGCGAATTCCCGCCTCGACGGAAAACATCATAGATTAGTAATTTGCACAAATCAGTCAGCGCTCCAAGGAAACTACCACCTTCGCCCCAGCGGGCCAGCTCCCTTTTTTCTCGAGCCATTCCGGTAATACTTATACAACAATACTACAGCGCTGCCCTGTCTGGGAGATTAATCAGGCATAGAAATGGACTTTATACTCCCTAATGAAATGTTTGGGCATCCACTGTACACACAAAAGACTCTCCATCATCTCTCTCCTTTGTGTACCTTCAAGTCGGATTTAAATTGGATGGAGATGTCAGTTACTTTTCCACTTTCCTTCTCAAACTCAGTAGTGGTGGTCAGAAACCCAGCAAAACCTAGAATCAGGGATGTGCCTAATGTGTTCCGGCCAACAGGCCTATTTGGTTTTTGCTTTTTTATTTCTTCGAGGCTGCTCGCTTGTGCAGTTCAGCATGAATTTAGATTACAGTATGCTAAGGTTTTAAGTGCAATAATGATGTTTCCATCTCCTCGATCATGCATCAGGCCAGATCTTTTTAAAGTAGTATGGACAAAGGTAACACTGTAAATTACTGATCTACTGAAAAGCATCTTCTTTGTACGCAGCCATTATCCACAATCAGGGCAGAGGTCAGGAACATGTAAATAAAACCCTTTTGAGCTGCTGTCAGATCAGCGCTGGGTTTCTCCTATATTTTGCCTCTTCTTTCACCTCCCAACTACAAATGATTTTTTTTTTTCATACGGGTTGAAACGTCTACCATTCACACTCTATGTATTTATGACATGTCTATTGTTTGGTGTTGGGACAGATGGCTGACCTGAACACAGATGGCTGGCACTGCTACATCATATGATAATCAGTGTTTTCTATTGAAATATAACTGAATATATAGATTTTCAAACCTAGGCCTAGATTAACTAGATATACTAATGTTTTAAATAATTAAGTTAATATTAAAGTATATTTTATATAAAAAGAGATTGGGAACCAAATGGGTGTTTTTCAAGCATTCCCACTCATTGACTTGGTGAACATTTATTTTCTGTACTTTTTCTTGTCTGAAACTAATTAAGAAGGTAAAACTTGTGTGACCCTTTTTTGGGGGAATATATTAAGTTCAAAAGGTCAAATTCTCTGTCTTCTTGTGGCCTTTGACCTGCAAAGGTTAGGGTTGATTTCATAGCTGGAGTCATTTTTCTGGATCCATAACTTTATTAAGGTCAGAGTTCAAGCTATTAAGGGCAGAAATATCACGCTATCAATCCTGACAAAAGTATAGATTGTGTCCTCTCAAGCAGAGTCATACCCTCAATTTAAATCATGAATAGTTTATTATATTTAACCATGATTTTTATGCCAGACAGTTACAATTGCAGTATTAGTCAAAGCAGCAGTGTAATTCTAAATCCTGTTAGTTTCTTTCTTCCCTTATAAAGATTTATCAGAACTGCACTTCATCTTGCCTACAGAAATGGTTGCAATAATATAATAACTTCCTTTTCGGTTGCTTGTTATTCAGAAGCAAGACTGAATACATCCCATTATGTGCAATTTTTGCTCAATGTTTCCTCTTTTGGAAAACGTTTAGGTTTTACTTCAAGTTATTTGTATTTTGGCTTTTTTGGTTAAGTTTTTTTCCTCTAAACCCCCTATGGTTTAAAGAGAGTCATGCAGAGAGTGTAAGGGGGCATGTTGTGGTATCCATGGGGACCGGTTGTCATGTGTAACCACGGCATCAGTCCAGCAGCTTGTTCTCTTTCTTCTTTTTTTACATGTGTGATCACCAAGGTGATCTGAAAAAGACTGATAGAATGGCAGATTTCTGGATTCTGTCTCCCCATATCCCGCCACCCCGCCGTGTTTCCCTGCCTCTGGTGTTTTTGTGCTTTCTGTCCATCATGTACACTTGTGTGCTACTTCAGATTTGGACATCAAGTGCTGTCATTAACGGCCCACTACCCGCCGTCAGCAAGTCATATGATCCCACATAGTGTTGTTGTCTATTCTTGGTTTTTCGACCTTGTAGCGCCCTCTCAGTCAGGAGGAAATTCCCCATTGTGAAACATCACCTGTGAAATATGCCTGAATGAATACATTTATCCAATCAGAATTTAAACTAACTGAAAATTAACCAAGCAGAGAATAAATAAACAGACAGGAAGGTTTTTATTTTCACAGACTTTATATTTTGCAAGACAAATTTTCATGTCGATTGTTGTAAGTGTGGATAGAAATGTAATTTATTCATGTTTCCCAGAGGGAGTCAGACCCTTAACCCCGACGAAAACCGCAAGCACTTCAAACACAATCTACTCTTGATTGGGCTGCAGCAGACACAGCACACACAATAACCCCCCAGTCCTGCTCCTGACGGCACCTCTGCCGCACAATGGTTTCAGCTGGCAGTACCATTTCAAAACCCCTACCTCACAGAATACGTGAGTTCATATTACCGCTATCATTAGCTTTGGGGGTGGAGAGACGGGAGAGCAGCGAGAGGGGAAGAGAGAAAAAGAGAGGAGGGAAACTGACAGTAACCATGGTAGCTCCTTTTTTTTTCTCTTTGTAAAATCACCCACCAAAAGAAATGTGTACTCATTAATTCTATGGGAAGTATGACAGATTTGTAAGCGCTTTCAAGGCTTGTTGTCCATTTACTGCTCTGCGAATTCCTTTTGTGTGAGCGCTGAGATAAGAGAGCAAATAACTAGCATCACCAGCTCACAGTGAATAAAGAGCTGTGTGTGCTGAATCGAAAGCTGCCTGCTCTGGTGATTGAAAACAGTTTCCACACAGTGAAGGATTACTTTAGATTTCTTGAATTTGCTTCTTTCCCACTACCCATTCCAAGTCTTGATGAAAGTGTGTTGAAGAAAGGGCTCAAAATGAAGGAAAGATCCATCACTTTTCCAAGAGATTTTCATTCCTTTTCACTTTAAGAATGTGCAGTCCCTGGCTTAGTCCTCACTTCTTTTAAAACCACTTCCTTTCCAATGTTCCAATATACTGTGTGAAGATTTCCCATATTAAGAAATAGCCATGTACAGATGACTGTTGAGATCCCTCAACAGGGAGAGAAATTAACGGGGGCAGCAAACAGCAGAATCTTAATTGGGCTGCGGCTTTTGTAACAAAGCCAAATTCAGTCGGCCTGCCGGCTCGTCAATAGAGCCTTTGTTGCTTTTTTTATTCTTGACTTTATGACTGTTTCTAAGAAAAGAACTGTTATATATGATGGAGGACTAGGGGGCACAGGCCAGTCTTTCTATAGTTTTATGGGAAGAGCGTGGTTGCATGAACTTAGTCTGGAGTAAGTCCTCATGTTGTCAGGAACAATTGAAAAGGTGTTCTCCAAAACTTCTGTAAATGTAGTAAAAAGAAAAAGGACTTGTTATATTATCACAAAATACAGGTGATAAAAGTTAAACCGACGTTTTGAAAGTGAAGATATGTTATTCCTTGTTACATGAACAGGGTTGGCTAATGTGATTTATTTCTTGTAATCAATACTTATACACTGTACAACAGGACTTCTGACTCTTGTTCTAAATACAAATGCCTCTTATTTATCTTCTTTATGTTATTTCTTTCATATTAACACATATATTGATTACAAACCGTGACAAGGCACTTTTACACAACAACCCTTCAGTTATGTTGCCGCTCAGCTGTGTTAGGCTTTGTGATACAGAAACCAGCTCAGGATTGTTTGAATCTAGTTAACAATCACAAAAAAATGGATGCCAGTGTTTATCAGATCATTGGGCCTTCACAAAATGTTACCGCTGAACGTTTTGGATAATACGTTTCTGCTAAAGCTGTATACTTGCTGAAGGCTTTAACAGAGTTTTACATTAGTTTTTTTTAAAACAGGATCTAAACTTTAAGATGTTAATCCTACAAGTTTGTTGTCTTTTAGTATTCTTCTTTTAGTTTGTTTGAGTAGTTTCATATTATTCCATTTCTTCATGAAATGCTCTGTTACATGACAAGTCAAAGGCTGTTAAATAAAGATGTTTTCAGGTGGAAGAAAGCCTCAGATTAATTTGAGGAATCCATACAGTTTGAGAGTAATTTGTGACTATACGTTCTGTATAACTGATGTGCGTTTTAGTGTTGTTTGTGCCTTATTACTCTGATGAATGTGTATCTTGTCCCTTTTTCCATGAATCCATTCGTATATATGCGTTTTTGACAGACTCAAAGAAGAGCTGTGTCAAATAGACCTGTTTTTCAGTCACTGACAGTGTGTCATCACATCTGTTCTGCATCTGGTTCAGTAATCCAGTCTATGTGCTTGTAATCTCCCTATTGTTTCACTGAATTTATATTGGTTTGTCTACATTTGTGTTTAGAAATGAGTATAAGTAGAAATGGGCCTAAAGGCCCACAAAAACAAAACTAGACACTAAAGACAAGGCTTTTGGGTCACTGTACAGTAGTAAATCACTGAATGATACATGCCCTTTGGGTCTTAATAAAAGAAAGGTTTCCTGTCTAATTCACAAAAATAATGCAAGAATGTGAAATACAACTAGAACCAGATGAAGGTCTTTAGAGTCTGTCCAGTGTAATGTATGTATTTAATGTGTTTGTGGGCTTATTATTTCAAACTGTCTAAGTCAATGCAGAACTTTTAAACAAAACGGAAAAAAAAATGTTGGAGATGGTTACATCTTTTTGTGTCTTGCATGGAACTGGAAAGAAATTTTCATAAGATTCATCTCACGTCTCTTGTACTGTGCAGTTTTATGCACATTTGCCACTAAATAGTTTTCTGAGTGTGGTCTAAAATTGAAGTATTTTTAATGGCTGTAAGAAAAAGAACTGGGGGATGTTAAACTTTCATTTTTCAAACTCATGGAGAAAGTGCACGGCTCACTCATAATGAAGCAAGCCCCAGTGCTCCATCAAACTCCATCAACTTGCTCAAATGAGAAATGCAATTTGACCTAAAAAAGGGATTATTTTGCATCTTCACATTCTTGAGTCTTCCTTGTAAAGTTCTGTGTTGTGTACTGTAACAGGTTGTTATGTACTGAAAGACACTTTCTACGAAAAATCCATTATTGTCAATTGATTAACTGACAAGCAAGACACTTCGTTACACCTCTAAAGAAAGTTTTCTCCAAACCTACTCCAACTTGAATTCAGGTATTAGACATGGCCAGTCTTTTGCTTTTCACTGCAGTAAAAAGAAAATGTATAAGATGTATATAAAATGTAATAATGAAATCACTTCTGAATTTCAAACTACTAATTGCCAGACTGTTCATAATGTCCATAATCTTTAAGAATAAACTACACGACTGTTTAACTGTCTACACTGAGTTGACTGATTTATTTGTCAGATTCTCTCCCCAGGTTGGTTTGTAAATGTTTATACACTTAAAAAATTATCTTTTAAAGGATAATTCCTTTTTTGCCAGGAATTCATAAGGCATTCAAGTTTGGTGGAACTTGAAAATCTGATTCTCCATGTATAAGATTTAGGAATGGGACACACAAGATTGTCTAAAAAAAAGTACTGATGTGGTCATTTAATGTTAAAAGTACAACTCGTAATGAGTCAGTGGATGCAGATCTATGGGGACTGCGGGTGATATAAAGCTCTGAAAATAAACTTCATGCTGCAACAGGTGGAGTGCTATACCAAAGAATCAGCTTGGTAGACCTTGTTTCTGCTGGTGTTTCAGGGCCGTAACAGAGGAGCAAACATAGAATCACCCAAACAGATTAGCTGTTCCCACAGAGGATTAAAAAAAGCACATATTGGGCAGTAGGTGGCAGCATTGACTCAAACATTTTTGGAGAAAGCCTATTTGCATGAAAGTGATGTATTTCCAGAATAAACACAATGATGCTGGGTGTGAATGAAATAAGTATTTCTATTCATTTTCATTGAGATATAGTTTTATTTTGCAGTGGCTTGACTTACGTGTCTTTTCCTCCATCACTCTAATTAGTCATGAGAAATAGATCTCCATAGACTTTTAACATGATAAGAGCAAAAAATATATTGTAAGACATTGATATCTTAATGGAATTCAATACTCTTCTATCAGACTGTGTAAGGAGGATTGCAGGTTAATGTAAAATAAAATCTACAAGCACATGGAAAAGATTCATGTTCCCTATTTTTTAAGTATTAAAACCTAACAAAAATGAAGAGGATTTCAAGACATATTTTTGAAGAAAAGATACCTCTAACACACTCTAAATGACCATGATCACACTCTCTCTTTATTTCCTTTCCCCATTTGTCCCATTTCCTTGCTCATCCTCGCTTCACCATGAGAAAATAGGCTAGCAGCTCTCTTTGAGACATTTTCAGAGTTGAGTGAAACTACATTAGCAGCAACTCCCAAAGGGTGACACTTCTAGGAAAGCCAAGTTCCAAATCCACCCGCAACATGCGAATACTAATCTGTTTCTGTCACTCAAGGATACCCCGCCACTTGTTCTGGTTCCTGTTCCTGTGAGTCCAGAGGGAAATCCATCTGCAGAAAAATGCTCCCCTATGGGGAATACTCAGATAGTGTATACAAAGGTGATTATTTGTGACAGATAGTTTCACAACCTAATTGATTTCTGCAGTGTAATCAACTTCCATCAATGGACCTGCCAGAATGAGGAATGTCTCTCTGATGATGTGGTTTATTTTGAGCACAGGCCCTCCAGCCTCATAATGTAGGTGACTAGTGTCTCTTGTAGTATGATCTCTTGATGAATAAAGAGGACAGTTAGGATTAGGTCGACATTTCTGTACAATTATATGCAGCCAAAAACCATCTTTTCTCATCTAATGCTGATTTGTAAGTTGGTATTTCCCAGCAGGGGGAGCCAGGATGTTAATTTTTTTCTCTCTAGTTGTTGAAAACAAAGACCTAAGCCAATCAGAATCTGGTCAAAGGAATCAAATAGGAGCTCCCTGTGACCATGGCAACAGCTTTACCTTAGTGACAGATTGAAGGTGAAAGATAGAAATGGAAGATGAGGCAATATGTTATTATATTATTGTTCTGGTTATTAGCAAACTTCTATAAACACTTACCTTTAAAGTGAACCTTAAATCCGTTTTAGTTTTGTGTAATGAAACTGACTGAACAACTAACTTATCAAGGTAAACTAAAGCCCAGAATGTGAATAGGAATTTATTCACTCAAAATTGTGTTTAACAGGCCCATGAAATGATTGGTAGGTAACAGCAGCCAACTAATATTATTTGACCTGTGAAGGACCTTGAGGGAAGGAGGTGATGGTATGTCCAGAATAAAAATGAGAAAGTGATTAAGGTAAGGGATGAAGCGGCTTTGGACTTATCAGATATAGTAAGGGCTAAACAACAAGAACATACTGCTGCTGATTTCTTCCTATAGGATGCCTCCAATATTTTCATTTTACTTGCTCAAAACTCAATTTGTTTGAATGAAGCAGCTAAACCCAGAAGATTTACCAATGATTTAGAAAGTCTACAAAAGTCTAAACGGCCTGAAATTTGGCAAGACTTTTTTTTTTATGACAATATTTATCTAGATTTTTATAAAGTTGCTGAAGCCACCCCTTGTGGGTGTAACCCTCCTCAAACTGTACAAATTTAGTCATTCTTTTACCCCGCCCATATTGCTATAGCTGCCTCCGATTGGTTGTATTCTTCTACCTTTATCAGTTGATTGGTCAGAAAATCTGCCAATCTCAGTCCAACGCTTTCTGTCCTTCGAGTAGCCCCGCCTCCTCACGCTTTCTGAAACCAGTGGTTCATTCGTGCATGAATATCTGTGGATTACCTCGCCGGGAAAGAGCAAGCCTATTAACAGTACAATTTGACTGGATTTGCATATCGTCTGCTATCCTACAGATAGATTAACGTCCTTTAAAGGAATTTTCGACGGCACTTCTGTTTGCAGTTTACGGCGGTGTGGCAGAGCCGTGTAGACCCCGAGCTAACGGTAGGCATTGTCACCTGGCCGCAACAGCTGACTCGTGTCTTACGAAGAAAAAAAAGAGTTGCCAGGCGGTTGCCGAAGGAAAACTAGCAGCTAGCAAGTCGGTCACTTAGCCTGCCGCCTAGCCACCTCTCTCCTTACTGCCACAGTAAGTCCCACCCTCACCAAGTGCGTGGACGTTGGGCTGCGGCGGGGAAGTCGAGTATATTTCTTCCCTCTGAACTTATCCAGCATCCGCGCACACCTGGCTGGCAAAGGAAAATTGTCCCCCCCCCCTTTCCCCGTCAGTCGGCGAAGTAAGGTGACGCTAACGTAAAATTGCCGGTTTTACGTTTGACAAGTGTGCTCGCGTGGAGGGATACGATCGCTACACTGGCAAAGAGACTGGCTAAAAAGAAGAGGCGAAATAAGAGAGAGCAAGGAAGGCACGGAGAAGGAGGTGACTGGCTAGTTTGGCCGGGGAGACAGAATCACACGTAAGTGACTCATGGTTGGTGTCGTGAAAGTAGCTCGCTAAACGGCTTAGTCCCGTACAACTTGCAGCGCTTGCACTGCAACATTTATCCAGCCAGCTTCTGCTCTGTGGCTTAGCACCTACAGCCAGTGCGCCATACTTCAACGTAAGCTAACGGTATGGGCTTCCTTGAAGGTGGCTTAGTAGCTAGCATGATAGCTAATGACTGATGGTTTGAAAGTGAGAAAACACCACAATTGGAGTCGGACTACTTTCGCTGCGGCGATTAATTATAAACTAAAGGCCTGTCGGGAAGTTTGGTCTAGTTGCATTTCTGAACCGAACAAGAATCTGAACCAAGCGATTTGTCATGAGGATTAGCTTATTAGCCGCTTTGCTAGCTAGTTCAAGCCGGCCACCCACCCAAGTTGACAGCTCAGTTTCTGACGATGCGAAAATCAAATGTTACTGAAACTCCGCCAATATTGCTGATTATACACCCTTCAGCAAGCACATATCTACCCGGTGCAGCTGTGAGAACTGCCTGTACTCAGGAACAGTCTTAGATAAAGTTGCCACATAGTGACAATGTCACACAACACTTCATGCACTTTTTTATACTATATTGCTTTTGAAGGACAGAATAGAACTTCAGTGACTCTCAGACGTATTTGTTACTTCTTTAATCTGTCTATCCCTTTTCATCTCAGTTGTCACTGAGAGCTGTCATCACCCATTGAACATTCACAGTCACGCCGCGTGTTGAAACAAGTCATATCTGTTCAGATCAACAATTGTGCATTTCCTAAACATATCACATGGCTGTACTTGATTACAATTTTGATACTAATACAAACATTTTCCCCCTCTCTTTTTTAGATAAATAAACGCTACCAGCGATCCACACACAGCCATGAGTATTGAGATACCGGTGGGGTTGACGGAACTGCTCCAGGGCTACACTGTTGAGGTGTTGCGACAACGGCCGTCAGACCTGGTGGATTTTGCAGTACAGTACTTCACCCGTTTGCGAGACTCGAGAAGTCAGGATGGGTCCAGCTCAGGTGGCAAGCCAGGGAAAGGAGTGATGTTTGACGGGGAGCCAATGCAGACAGAATCCAACGGAGATGATGACGAAGACGACGATTCCGACTTTGAGCGTAGGTGGATGTTTTCTAGTCAAGATTGTCAGTTATAGTGTTGGAAGTGTTTGAGAGGGAAATGGGACAGACTGGGAGATGGCACTGCAAGTATCTTTTGCAAGAGGTTTCACGAAAGAGAGGGTTAGAATGTGAAGCCTTGCTCTGTAATCTCCCCTCTTACAGAAACATTAAAGTAGTTTATGCCTGACGAACTTTGATACCAATTCTATTTGAGTTATCAGTTTGGGAAATCATCCCTTGTAAAAAAAAACTCATCTCTCCTAGGCCTTGCCATTCTCATGTATGTTGTTATAAGAACACACAAGCATTGAAATAGCAGTCCTAATCAACCCTTAAAGTTCAAACTTCTCAGAAAGTGTACAGAAGGAAAAACCCCAGCAGTACAAGCCCTCTATTTAAATCATGAAGTGAATACTTGTGCTTTCATGACCGACTTAAACAAGATAGACTTTGAAAGCGTGTGCTCTGAAAATTGGATTGATAAATATTCTCTCAGAAAGGTTGATGTTGGAAAAAATGCTCCTGTATTTTCTCAAACATTTGCAGGAAAACCTCCAAAACCTTAATTGTGTAAGCTTTTATATTTAGCTGTAATTGTGACATGGGTGGAATGATTTGTGCTTACCTCAGTGAGAATAGGGTCTGCAGAGAGCATATGTTAAAATCAAAGGGTGTCTTTGGTCTTTATGAACATCCCTACAAGTGCCAATTTGTTGTCAGTGAGCACTTGTTTTGGACTTGATTAATCCAACGTGTTCCCAGAGGACCTTTTTATGTAGATGAGCTACACATTCATGGGGCCTAAAACTGCCTGTTTGCATATGTAGCCTAGTATCATGTGGCCCTAAAGGTCCTTGCCTTTGCCTCACCCATGTCCTATGCGTTTGATTCTCTTGTAATTGGCAGGCTGACAGAAAAGGAGAGCTGCTCTATTGTTTAACTCTGCTCTGTGCAGCTGAGAGCATGTGGCCTAGTTCACATAGCTGTTACACTGTAAAGTCTTTTTATAATGACTTTTATTTAGGATGATTTAGGATGAATCCTACAGGAGTTTAAAAAAATGTATTTACATGCAAGAAAAATACTGTGTGCATATGGGGCAGTTCACATACTTCAGAAGTATAAATATGGCTGGACAGTTTCCTTTGTCTGATTATTGGCCCATACCAAACCATCTCACTACACCTGCTCTCAGAACATCCTTTCTCACTCCTTTCATAAGCCTCTTT